TAGAGAATTCAAAATGCTAAAAAAAAAAAAATCCACCCAAATAACCCAAATATTTAAAGTTTACTGTTAATTAACGGAGCACCAAATCCACACAGTTAAGAAGCTGATACCAAGAAATGTTCGCCAGCCTGTTAGAAATGTTATGTTTACCTGAGTAACTAATCGATTATGTAGTTCCAATTCTACTCTGGAGATAACTGTTCAGTTTTCTCTACAGTTATGTCACTTCCTCCCCCACAGTAAACATTTGTCATGTCTTACCAGAGGAAATCACACCGGCAACTAGTGACATGAACTAATTGGTTCCAGTTATGCTTTCTTATAAACCATGCCATTAGGTCAGCTTAGATAATTGCCGGATCCTGGAACTGGGACGCCTAAGTAGGATGCAGCTTATTGTTGAATTTCTTCGAATGGTTTCCTTGCTTTATGTTGAAATATATTCCTGGAAAATGTCAGTAAGAGGTCACAACTTACATTCATGATAATAATGATGTGCAGATCTGCTATATACAGCACTGCAGACTGTTGGTTTTGCACATAAAGAAACCACAGGGAGACGTTTATCAAAAACTCTCCACACTCACCCAACACTTCTTTGTAGATTTTTATAGATCCCCATAAAGCAGCTGTCTCCATGTTTCTGACTCACATTTTGCAAAGCCTTCATTTTTCACGTTGTTTTTTATACACGCCATTAGTTGTTTTGTTGTTGTTGTTTTTTATTTAGGTGCACTTGTTCAGTTATTTGCTAATGCAAATATCTTATATTTCAAATATCAGTTAAGACTATTTAGGCATATATTCATATATGACCTGCTGAAGATCAAAATGAGCATCAGAATGGGATTTAAGTGACTCCGACTGTTGTTGGTATCAAACAGGCTGCTCTGAGTACTTCACTAACTGCTGATCTACTGAGAATTTTTCAAAAGAAGAAAAATCAAGGGAGTAGCAGTTCTTTGGGAAACTGGGTGAAAAGGCCTTGTTGAGGTCAGAGGAGAATGACTAGAATGCTTCAAGCTGATGAGAAGCCAAATAACTCAAATAACCACTCGTTACAACCAACTGAACATAAAGCAGATGAGTTATAGTAGAAGAAGATCACTCTGAGCACCACTTCACCACTGCAGTCACCGCATCTCAATCCAAACAGAGCACCTGTGGGGTGTGGTGGAACAGAGATCGTGCTCATGTATACACAGCTCACAAATCTGCAGCAATTGGGATGCTACCATGTCAATATGGACCAAAATTTGTGAGGAATGTTTTTAGCACCTTATTGGATCTGGGCCATGAATTAAAAGGCAGTTCAGAAGGCAAAAGGAGATCCAACCCCCTTCTTTAGCTCTTTCAATGTCATGATAGCGTTGCGCATCTAGTTTACTGTTTCCATTTTATTATGTCTTACTGTTTCCTGCTATGACAAGAAACGTATATCTAGTAAAACACCTGCAAAGTCAATGTGCATTTTTGCCTGATTACACTTCTCCTGAAAAGACTCTGGTTCCTTCATATCTGGAGTTAATTTGAACTTGTGAGAGTGGGACAGCTTACACCTTTATCATTCTAATTAGGAGACAGTGGATTAGTTACGTCATTAAGTCCCAGCAAAATGTGAGCAGGGGCCTAATTAGCACAATAACTTAAAGCCCTTATGTGCTGGGTCTGAAACTGTGTTATGTCGTAACATAGCCATTACCAGCTGCATAACCATATTACTTTGTTCTATTGAGAATATGGTAATATTGAGCTTCTTATGGTATGGTATGAATAGCCAAATCAATAGCTTTCTGTAGCCATGTCAATATGTTGTAAAATGTGACATTATGGGAACAGATCTAAAAATTGAGGGGACATTTTTGCATCCGAAACAGAAGCTTAACTAACATTATAGCATGTTAGCTATATTGCATTTTAGTTGTTGTTGTTTTTTTAAGTTTTTTTCTCTTGTATATGTTTTTCAGATTTTTCTCTTCATTTTTTTCATCCTTGGAAAAGGAATGCTTTTCTGAGGGCTGCATTGTACAAATGTACAAATTAGGCATCTAAGATCAGCAGTAGTTTAATTGTTTTATTGTTATTTGCTTATTGGGGGGAAAAAATTACTGTTAAAACTAAGACAAGTAATGAAAATCAAAATGTCTTTTTATCATTATACAGAAGAATAGGCCCAATTGACTTTGAATTTCAATTGGTGGCAGCTCCTCTGTGCTCCAAACTCCATAAATGTTACATTTTGGCAACTGGGGTGGCTCAAATTCACTGCTTTCTGTTATTCATCTTTCACGTCGGATGTGAGAAACACGCTTTTCAACATCCTGTGAAGGCAGCATTCATTCAGATGCACTTTGACAGATCTGTCCAGATTTGTGACTATGAACACAGCTAGAAACAAGAAAATCAGGACAGTGTCTTGTTTTGTTTTTTTCCCTCCAGTGACAGTACATGAAAGAGCAAGTTGTGAACAGTGACGGTGACTTGATTTTACAGAGACAAAGTAGACATGACTGGTTTCTAAGTGCTAACATAAGAAGCAACTTGCCCCCAGTCTACTGTTACTGAAGTTACTACATGTTCTGTCTATATTAAACATTAAATAACAACATTAACATGTTTTTGTGTCCTAAATGTGTAACTAATGTGAATTTCTGAGCGCTTTAACCTGTAATTATAATGTTATTAACTATAAACACAAACTATTATACGATTTAATAGTTACTGTAATCAAAAAACAAATCAGATGTGCATAACCTCCCCTGGGTTTCTCTTCTAATTATTGTTTGTTAACCTTTTATTACAAACCCTCATACTTTCCCAGCAAGAGAAGGACTGGGGACTATTCAGGTCTGTCTGTGTGAATGCATGAGTAAGAAAAAGGATGATGGATTGCAGGTTTTAAAGTTCTCCATGGATATTGTTTCTACGGCAGTCCAGAAGAAAAAAATAAATACCACAGTGACAATTTACTTGATGAACTACACACTATGCACACTATCTCATTCCCTCATTTTTCATTTTATGTCACATTTCATTTTGTTTTCGCAAAGTTGACTCTGTCTACAATGGTGCATTCCCCTTACTTTTACCTGAAATACATGCAGCAATTCCTTCTAAAATATTGCAATCCACACTACTTGGTTTATACAAGCAGGTGACAAATTAAAACCCCTGACCCCTACAGTGAAGTGATTTGGTGGCTCTTGGAGCTATTTTACTAAGAGAATCAGGATCCACTTGTCCCCTTAGAGGGAAATCAATACAGAATGGTTGTGAGAGATTAGCCTTTATCCTGTGATGAAACATTTCCATCCCAATGAGTGGTCTCTTCCAGGATGATGAGACTCCAATCTATAGGGGTCACTAAATGGTTTAATAAGTATGAAAATGTGATGTGAATCACATGGAATGTTTTGGATGTATTAGACACATCTTTTTACCACAGTCACTAAAACATAAAGATACTTTCTGTTTTGTTTTGTTTTTTCCCTTAATTTGCCATTGTCTTTATTCTGATAAAGGTCTCCATCTTTGTTATACTTTAAGCAGGTGTCTCCTGTTTAGACTCAAGGATCAGATAGATCCTTCTCATTCATGTGCTCAGAAAAAACAAAGAAGGGCATTTAATGTAAACTGCAATGCTTTATTTCTAAATGATAAGAATGAAAAATCTGAAAGCAAAGCAGACTTTTATTAAGAAGACAATGTACGGTACTGTGGATGGGGTAATTTATTGAAATGCACTGACATACGATGTATATGTTTATACAGTGCTATTGATCTTGAAAGTCAATATTGAACCTTTATTCTTCAAAACTGCCTGAACTCTCTTAGATAAGCTCTCCTGTACTTTCTTTAAGTAAGCAGTCTTCATGAATAGTTCTCCAGGCTTCTTGAAGGACATTCAAAGCTCTTCTTGGATGTTGGTTGTTTTGTTCCATTCTTTGTCAAGATGATCCCACACTGCTTCAGTAATGTTAAGGTTGGAAGTCTGAGGACATCAGCCCGTGGCTGATAGAGGCCCATTATGTGTTTTTCTATCCAGGTATGCATTTCTTCTTTGGGATTATTGTTATGCTGATAAATGAAGTCATTGTCAGCCAGATGTTTTCCAGATGGTACTGCATAGTGGCACTTTTTTGTGTTCCCAATTCTATCAATTTTGACAAGATTCCCAACAACACTGGCTGAAATTCTGCCCAAACAGATGGTTGTAGACACTCATTGTTGTACCTCTTTCTTTACCTCCATATATATATATATATATAAATATAAGAATTAACTTCAGGTATGGGCCCCACAGAGCCCAGATCTCAACATCATTGATTGTGTCTGGGATTACATGAAGAGAGAAGGATGCGAGGAAGCCTTCATCCACAGAAGATCTGTGATCAGTTCTCCGGGATGTTTGGAACAGTCTACGAGCCGAATTCCTTCAAAAACTGTGTGCAAGTGTACCTAGAAGAATTTATGCTGTTTGGTCACACCAAATATTGATTTGATTTAGATTTGTCTTTTGTTAATTCAGTGCACTTTGCTGATTAATGAAAATAACTGATTAACATTTCCATTTTTGAAAGCATTCTTTGTTTACAGCATTTTTCTCACCTGCCTAAAACTTTTGCACAGTACTGTGTAATTGTTTTCTATATTCAAAACAAAAACAAATTATTTGTTTTTGTGACAGGCAGCTAACTAAACACCTAAAATACAATTAAAATTGGTTCTTTGCTATGGCACTGGTTCTTCCCTTGCACTGGGTGACTTTTTAATGCTTGAATGATTCATAAGTCAGTGCTGTCTTTTAACGACCTTGGGAAAGCCTGGAGAATTACTATTATTATTTTTTAAAGGCCACTTTAAAAAAATTACAAAAGTCTGACTTCTTGGAACCAAAATATAAAAAAATAAGGGGCGGATCAAGAGTTTTGCACAGTCCTGTATGTTAGTCTGATAAAAAAAAAAAATCATGAATAATGCACATATAAATCTGCATATACATATACATATATTTTGGTTAAAAATCTCATTAAAGTGTGCAAACCAGAGTTCTGCTCATTGAAACCACATTTTTTCCCTATGATTCTGTGTTTTTCCCCAATAATGTTAAATTTTCAACCAAACAACAAAAGGAATAAAGAATAATATTAATGAATTCATGTTTTCGCATACTCTCGTACATTTAAATATTTACTAGCCAATTATATTTTGGTGACTCTGGGTAACTGATTCATGATGTAAGAGTAAAAACAGTGGAAGTGAAAACAATAACGTTTTAGGTTGTACCTAAAAGTATGAGCTATGAGATGTTGTAAAGAGAAATGTCAGGTGATCATTCCCTGTTGCTTTGTCACTTCTCTCAGAAAAATACAGGAGTGTGTGGGATCTGTTCTTATGAATTTAGATACTAATTATAAAGTACAGAGATTTGAAAAATAATCATCCTTTGCGCAGCAGACCTTCTAAGAGGTTTGCTGTCTTAATATTCGACTAGGCTATAAAAATAAAATTTAGCATGTTTCTTTTTCTGTTTGTTCAACACCAAGGTATTTTTTGAAAAAATCAATAGCTAAATTAGTTTACTCAGTGACACGGAAGAAAATGTCATCTTAACAGTTTAAAGTCATGAGTGTCAAAATTCAGCAGTGTTCCTTCCTACTTTTCTTGCTTACTTTGCTTTATGTCAGCCATGAGATCAAAAGTGTTTCAAAATAGAAACAAGAGCAGAACTAATTTTTGTAACAGCAGGTGACCTAGTGTCCTCCTGAATATGAACAGCTTCACATCTTCCATAAATTGTATAAATCTCCTTTTGGGTGAACTCGTGCTGTCTTTGTTGGTTTAATGAACTTGGTTTGATTTTCCTGATGAGAGAGTCAACTGTATATGATTACATGAGGCCTAATTGTTTGATATTATTTCATTCTACTGTATTTTCCATGTTCTGTCTTTAAAAGTATTGGATGCTGCAATGACCCAGTTTCCCAATACTGGTCAATACAGTTTCATTTTTTTTTCCAGTTGACTCAGTTCATCAGTGCTGCTTATGATAGGATCAATAGAAGCGAGGGAGAGGTGAGGTGGTTCACTGGTGTGTGGTGGCGCCACAGCATCAAAGCATTTCAGAGCAGAGTGGTTCGATAGCTTGTTAGTATGCCTGACAATTTCATCGCAAAGTCTGAAATGCAAAAGAAGACACACTTGCTCTAAATTTAAATCTCCCACTTTTTTCAGCTGAGACTGAGTTAAGACTTGCATTGCATATGTACAGTAGTCTTTGCCATAAGAATAGTTATAACTCTGTAACACCCAGCCTTCTATTCCTTTCAGCAAAATTTGCATCTTTTTTCTTCTTCTTTTTGCAGGGGAAGTGAAAAAGGCGGATACTGTATCTTGCACAGCTCAGGTAAGTTTTTGTGAAATAATGCAGTTCACCTTTAGTTCCCCTCTATCCTCCTCAGTCATGTCGGGATTGATTGCATTAGATAGACCTGTTTTTACATTCAAAATTTCATGATCTGGCATACTCAGTGGATCAGTCAGAACCTCAAAGGGGACACCAGGATGAATCCAAGATGAAGAAATGTGAATGCTCCAGCTCTCAGCCTGCCCAAAGGTGCCTGTGGGGAGGGAACTAAATGATCAGTTTTGATATTTTACCAGTTTGCACAGCGTGGTGCTGAACACAAGTGACATGGCCAAAACTACGGCTTCTTAAAATGTCACAATGTCTGAATCCATTTAAAGTCATTTTTCTGCAGCGCTATCCAACTGGGCAGCAGACCTTCTAAGAGGTTTGCTGTCTTGTAAATAACAAAAAAAGGGAAATTATTTTTTGAATTTTTCTTTCAGTTTTCTGTGCAATTCAGTCAGTGGATGAAACTTTATTAAAATGCATCTGGCTCAAAGTGGTGGCTCAAATTGAGTTTTAAAAGGATATTTATATGTCTCTGTGATGAAAACTTGATATCAAACACATTTTCCTAAGGACTCCAGCTTCAGAAGGCTCCCACTTTACTGTTTTCCAGCTGGTTTGTTTAAACATCCTCTTCTGGTTTGAAAAGAAGCAATTACAATTCTAGCCAAACTGTTACAGCTCTTCTGCTCCAGTTGCTGCCACACAAACCAGCAGGAAACCAAACAGCAGGTACTGCTTGTTTAATTACTAGTTTAAATGATACGTAATGGGTATTTGAAGCTGAGAGAACATATACATAATACAGAAAGAATTGACCGCCGGCCCCTCCAGTTGGTCAGTAGAGCTATGTCTCTCACACTGAATTCATTAACATTAATGCTGTTTTGTTTAATAAAGTCTAGAACAGGAGGATTGACATGTGCAAAATGTCACCTACCTATGAATTCTCCTTGTGTACTCCAAAGACGCACCGTGTAGTCAGTGGATGAGGTAAGCACCACTTGATCATTGTCAACAACGTGCAGGCTGGACCAGAATAAAGAGACATGAGATGAAATGGGAGAAGGCATTTCTGGAGGAACACACTAAATCATCTACCCTGTTGGTACGTAAGATGGCAGATGCACCGTGGGCAGCTTCTCACCTATACTGATTGTACGTTTAAGCCCTTCCCACATGCAGTCTCTTCTATACTTTGTTTATGTACTGCAGCAGCAGGAAGTTACCGGTAAGCTGTTTCTGTTGCTGCTGCTGCTGCTGCAGCTGCTGCTGACACCTCAGACTGAGAATGAGTGGATTCACTAAGGATGTACCCATGAGGAATTTTAAGCATGCAACTAACTAAAAGTTAAACACACAAAGAGTCTAATTCAGTCAGGTCCACTATAGTCAAAAAAGGGATGGCATTTCCAACTGTAGTAATTTATATTTCATGGCATGGCTCTTTTCCGTGCCTTCCTACACTTTCAAATGCATACATGTAAAGCCAGAGCTGGGGAGAGCAGCAGCAAGACCTCTGAGCAAAAAGAGCAGGCACCAGTGATAACACATATGACACTGATTAAGTCAGACACAGCATGAAAAGAGGAGCTGGCCTGGAGGTGGGTTGCAAAGCAGTTTGCAGATACACAGTAAAGCAGACTAAAACAGCTTAAATACCATGTCCTATATGAAATGTGTGAATTGGATCCTAGAAGAGTGGTTCGTGTGGGCTGGCACTGATGTCAGCTGCCTGGCTTGAGACTGAGCTTGATTTTGTGACCCACCTGAATTAATGCTATGCTCTATTTCTGTATTTTACATACCCAGTAACTGTGTTGGTGTGGGCACGCCAAAAGGTTTCAGCTAAAGGAATAAAGGAAAAAAAAGTGTCCTGATAAAGACAATATCTAAATTTCACCATTTGCCAAACAAAAGAAGAAATCAAAGAAAAAATAATATACTAACCTCTCAGTGATTTCTTCTCAGGGTCTAGCTTTTCCATGCTGTAGACATAGATGTAACCAATTCTGTCAGCCATGTACAGCAGAACATCCTTCTCTGCTTTGGCCAGTTTTGTTATCTTTTGTTGAAATTTGGACTGAAAGGTGCAGATGAAAATAAAAATTGGAATTTACTTAATACTTCTGTACAAACCGATCACTGATTATTCAAATTCATTATTTGGTAATGGATCTCTTCAGCTCAAATGAACAGAATAAAAGGAACAAAATCAAACAATAACAGTTATCTCCCCCGTTGTGACCAAATGTTACCTTCCCCACCGAGGGACATAATAGCCTACATTTCACTGAATAACGTTCCTCTTCAAATAATATGACATATACATAATAGAATAAAAGCTGTGTTGACTGTTAACAAAAAATTGCAAGTATGCGACCCATTGATGGTTGGTTAATAAACACGGGTGAAGCCAACAACTCTTTTGATTCGGAAGATTTTTGCAGGTCATTTGTGTTAATATTTTTGTGCTGCTTCTTGTGTTATTTGGGCTGACTTTAGCAGAATTGCTTAGGCACACATTGCATTTTATTTCAGCTTTGAGGAGGTTGGAGAACTGCTTGGATGTCCTCATGTTCACCCACCTCCCAAAGCAAGAGGCCCTGCTTTGCATTACTTAGCTGCAAGGAATGTACTTGGGAGTTTCTTAAAATCTAGAGCTAAGCAAAGAACATGCAGACTATATATTCTCTTGATTTTTATTCAGTTGTTTTAACGATAAGAGAAAGAAAATAAGTATTCCTTGATTGCCAAAAGGGAAACAGGGAAACATTGCAGAGTAAAAGATCTTACAGCTTTGAAGCTGCTAACAAACTTTCCTCTGCCGAGCACATTCCAGAGATTTACACAGCCTTTAAGAAGAGAAAAATATATAATTAACATTATAATGGAGGACACTGTAAGGTTGCACAAGTGCAGTCTTGCTTATTAGACCTGTTTATAGCACTGACCTTCGGCCCCAGATGACAGGAGAGCTGTAGTTGAGGAAAGCTCTTTTAAATAGGAATCCTTCAGGAAAACTATGCTTGGAACACTTGTATCCAGACCTAATTTAGAGAGAGAAAATGTGAGACAAATGCAGTGATTTGATCACATTAAATTTCACTTTGAAGCTCCAAAATCACCTTTAACATCTTGCTGTTCTGCTACAATGGGACTAACAAACCGACACTGTATACGTCCAGAATCCACGTTCCACACTATAATCTCGCCATCAGAGCTGCCAGTGGCCACAAAAGATGGGGGACACTGTGCCATACAAAGGATGTCATCCTTATGGCCATTTTTCTGTAGAGAGGCAAACTGTTAGTCTTGGTACAGTTGCAAAAGGATTAATTTGTTGATCCTAAACCCAAAACTGCAGTTCAGTCTGAGTTATTCAGAGTAATTATCCATCT